AACATTGAGTACATCATCGTTTTAGTTTTTAGAGTGTACGATAGTTTATCATATCTTATATTCAGTACTCTTTCCAAGGTGATTGTTTCTTTACATCCTGGAGGTTTGTCATGGTGGTCTTCTTTCATTTTACTGTTTATGTTTTTTCTGTTGATATCTAAAGAAAAATAAAACTGATCTTTGAACTAAGGAATGACGCTTTTTTTTAAACATCCCATTATTTGTATTGAGCGTCATCCTACTTTCAGAACAACAAAATTGAAAAGCACGTTTTTTGGAATAAACAAGACATCGCAAGTTCTGATTCATTGTTGTTGAAAATATAACTTGTAAAAAGATTTGTCACTAAATGATAGATAGTAATTAGTTGACTTATTTAAAAAATAATAGAAATACTGGCTTCTTTTTGTAAAAGTAGGGATGTAATGCCTGTGGATTGTGGGTTTATTTATCACATGGTTGTATTATTTTTATTATAAAAGTGCTAAACGATGTATATCAAGTATGCAACAGGAAGCAACACAATAACATTGATATTGAAATAGTTGTTTATAATTATTAATTTTATTGTTTCAAATGTTTCCGACTGACGTTATCATCATCTTTATCTGGAGTTGCAAATGCGTTCTTTTTAATGCAAATAAAGTTGTTTAAAAAAACGACAGCATGTTATCTATGACAGAATTGCCTCCCTTATCCCTGCCTCTACTGCATCCCTTAAAGATTCCTGAATGTGACCTGGGTGTAGTCATATCTGACAGCATGTGGAGGGATATTCTTGGTCCGGTGCATTCCTCCTCTATATGTGCTAGGCATGGCCTGATGCAGTGCAAGGGGCTCCACAGAGCCCACTTCACCAATGCTCGATTGGCTCAAATATTTCCGCAGAGAAGTGATTCCTGTAATAGGTGCAAACTCTCGATTACCCCTGACACTGACGTGGCCTAAATGGAGCCCGCTGGGTTGGGGATGAGAGTTCCATACTTTTCTTTCTTCCTGTTTCATATTGACCAATAATCTGTGTATCCTTTATTGTTCTCCCATGTCTTAATTGCTTTTTAGTTATTTATTATTATACTCAATGTGAATTGGTTGTATTCCTGCTACTTGTGACTTTGTGATGTGAGTTATTTATTTTATTGTATTTATAATTTTATTTATTTGTATTATTATTATTTTTTCTGTGACCATGACCTAATGGGGTGGGGGTAGGGGAAATGGGTATTTGTCTTTCCTTTATCAGACAAATTGTCCTGTACATTGTATATTGTGCTGAAAGTGCCATGTCTGCAATCAAACAAAGAAAATAAATTACACAATTTACAAAATACACATCCTGTAACAGTGATCCAACGTGACTCTAATATGAGTGTCTCTGCTGCAGTGAGCGTATCGGCATGCGTCAGTCTCAGGTGGATAAGCTGTACGCCGGGCTGAAGGATCTGTCGGAGGAGCGCCGGGGGAAACTGGACGAGCGCCTGCGTCTCTTCCAGCTGAACCGAGAGGTGGACGACCTGGAGCAGTGGATCGCTGAGAGGGAGGTGGTGGCCGGGTCCCACGAGCTGGGCCAGGACTACGAGCACGTCACCGTCAGTACCTTCACCTGTCTTCATAGGCCTTCATTTGGGGGTTACTAGCAGTACCTTGTATGGTCTTATTCATGCCTTACTTAAATACAATTCTGAGATTAGGTACTTGCTTGTCTTATCAATTGTTTATTTTGAAAGGCTCTATTATGCTTTTTCTGTGTTCCTTTTCCCGTAGTGTTTTTTTTATAGGTTTTAGTGCATGTAAATGATCTGCAAAGGCACAAATCCATGTGTTCCCTCCAGAGGGAGTTTCTCTCCTATACTTTTATTTAACGCTTTTATTTGGAAGCCATTAGTGTAATTTTTAATCCACTACATTTATTAGACAATTAATGCTCGCTTTCCTGATTTAAGTTTTTTTTTGTAACTCTAAAGCAGTGTTTCTCAAACTTTTTCATACCAAGGACCACTTAATCAATAAAAAAACCTAACTCCACAAATATCCCAAAACACATCGTTTTTCTAGAACAGATTACAAATCGCCTGAAAATGGTACAAACAAGTGGCAACATGTGTGACGAAGGTGTTGCGCTGGGCTATATCATGCAATCGAAAGTGAAACTTAAGCTCGCTCCATTGCGGAGATATTCCCGCGAGAGTGCGGAAAACTTAAATTAACTTATGTATTTAAAATGTGAAATGTTACCAATACACTCACGGACCACTAGGGGGCGCTCACGGACCACACTTTGAGAAGCACTGCTCTAAAGTATTGATATCTGTATTGTTGAATATACTTAAAACAATTATTCTTGCTCAAATCCAACAGAATGTGTTTGTATGACAGGATGGTAAGAACCTTTACCCTTTGGTCCTCCTCAGATGCTGCAGGAGCGCTTCAGAGAGTTCGCCCGCGACACGGGGAACATCGGGCAGGAGCGCGTGGACACGGTGAACCAGCAGGCGGACGATCTGATCAACACGGGCCACGGAGACGCCGCCACCATCGCCGAGTGGAAGGACGGGCTGAACGAGGCGTGGGCCGACCTGCTGGAGCTCATCGACACGCGCACGCAGATCCTCGCCGCCTCCTTCGAGCTGCACAAGTTCTACCACGACGCCAAGGAGATCCTCCACCGCATCCTGGACAAACACAAGAAGCTGCCCGAGGAGCTGGGCCGCGACCAGAACACGGTGGAGACGCTGCAGAGGATGCACACCACCTTCGAACACGACATCCAGGCGCTGGGGACACAGGTACTGGAGATGTGGGACTGATGCAAGTCAAAGTCAACTTTATAGTCAATCTTTCAGTTTGAGATCGAAATACCGTTTCCCACAATCCCGAGTACAAAAACAAATATATATAAAAATTAGGGCTGTCAAACGATTACAATTTTTAATCAGATTAATCACAGCTTAAAAATTAATTAATCATGATTAATCACCATTCGAACTATGTCCAAAATATGCCATTTCTTTATGTATATTGTTGTGGGAATGGAAAGATAAATGAAAGAAGGCGGATATATCCATTTAACATACAGTATGTATGTTTATTATAACATTGTTCTGTGTGTCAAAATGAAAGACAGCCCACACACCTATCAATCATCAAACCGTTGGGTCTTATTTAATTACGTGTTGATTTCTATCAACACGTAATGTTGTACCGATGTATATAGAGATGTACTACAGCAAAAGTATTCTCCGTCAGGACTTCCTGCAACAACACCACGCCTTTATCTTGATTCTGATTGGCCAGAAGACATTATCAAAGATGTTCTATTGAGAAGACGATCACTACGGGACGAAAGTTTTCAAAACCGTTTCTAGTCTTCGGTATTTCAAGACAAGTGGCTACTGAAATCAATCTTGCTAACAGCTGTCTGTGCAATTTACTCGGCGCGAGTTGGCAGACTTTATTTTGCTGACTCTAACATCATTGTTCATGGTGGGGCTAAGCCATTTCTTGGTATGGGTGTAGCCTACCCCAGCCATACCCCAGCGCTGCCACTGGTGGGATGTATGGGGCGGGCCATTCTGCACATGCGTTAAATGCGTTAAATATTTTAACGCAATTAATAAAAAAAATTAATTACCGCCGTTAACG